ATGGAAAGAGAGAGGGGTACTTTGGGCGCATTAGTGAATGAGGAAAGAAAAACATGCTTGATGTGGAATTCATTCTTTTGCATATTTGAATTTGTTTAAAGTTATTCACTTTCTTAAAAAGACAGACGTAGTCACAAGCACACTTGCAGGGATGCAAGTTGAAGAAGCATAGGGACTTGATCGCAGTGCATAGCTTCCTATTTATATAGGCTAGGTGCTGCAAGGTCATGCCCTATTTAGTCCATGCCACTGAGTCTGTGCGAGTGTTTGTGGGGTGCACTATCACAGCATACAGTCTCTATGCAATAGCATATTCCTTTGTGTGCATGTTTGTTTGGTCGTATCTTGCATAGCACAGTATGATGTTTATATCATTGCAAGCTGCCTTTGTACATAGGATAGTGTGTGCATGTAGAGACTGAAATAAATAACTGGAAAAATCTGTGCTGTATGTGTAAAGGCTGTCGGTCTCTGTTGCTTTTCTTGGAAATATTTCTGGAGGAGAAAATAAACAAACACAGCCTTCTCACCTTCAACTCCCTTATCAAAGTCGTACTGTATCATACTGTGACGATCGCTGGCTCGGTTGAGAGGAGCTGGCCTGACCCTGTCCTATACTTGACAGTTAACTAGCCAGCGGTGTGCCGGCACCTGGCTCAACAAGGAGGAGAACACCTGGTTTGTCTTTTGTGGTTTTATTGAACGCAATAAGGAGACAAATGAACGCTGTCCAAACTGGCACCATGTGCTTTCTAAAGAAAATAATGAAAGAATAAACAACACATCTCCCAAACTTCACCATCGCCCGCCAACAGAACCAAAAAAACATGCCCACCTGTCATCCCTCTTATACCCTCTCGCACCTGTTCTTCCCCCCATCCCACATTGGCCAGAACAGCGTGGCATTTTGCAGAAAACAGCGGTAACACACACAGTAAGTGGTAACCAGTACATGCACAGCTTTCACAACAGTGTCAAACCCATTTGCACACAACAGAACACACGAACATTGGCGGGCGGGCAGGCCCGGCACATAGCCCCCACCTGAGAGGGTTAGTGGCCCCACAACCCTCATCAGTCCAACACAAAGTCACTCAAATGTGTGGGGGCCTGGCGTGCACGTCCTGGCCGCCGGGCAATTCCATCCACGCCATCAGACCCTCCTCCTGTACCACCAGAGTCACTAACCTCGTCGGGAGCGGAGGGGTTGTCCTCTGGGTCCGGTTCTGTCTCTGGTGCGGGGGCCAGCGGGTGGTAGGGTGCCAGGCTGTCTTTA